GTAAAAGTAAAACTGAAAAATTTGATATATGTTTTGGTATTTTTAAACATTACATATTTTAAAGAAAGTTAGATATTTGTGTAACTTAGATATTAGCATACACTATCTTTGATATTTTTTATATTAAAAAGTGCTGCTACTCTTTTTCGCTATTACCTCGGTTGAAAAAGATGCTAAGAGCATCGTGTCAAACAGGCTCGAAAGGGCACTACCACTACTACTATTAAGTTCAGTATCATTAATTATAAATATATATATATATACATATATATATATATATATATATATATATATATATATATATATATATATATATATATATATATATATATATATATATATATATATATATAATATATATATATATATATATATATATATATATATATATATATATATATATATATATATATATATATATATATATATATATATATATATATATTTATATATAAATATATATATATATATATATATATTTATATATATATATATATATATATATATATATATATATATATATATATATATATATATATATAAATAAATATATATATATATATATATATATATATATATATATATATATATATATATATATATATATATATATATGTATATATATATACATATATATAAACTAATTATTAGGGGAACCTCTTAGTAAAAAGTTTTTTAAAACTAAAAATTGTTATAAATTTTTTCATAATTCTTTGAAAATAATTACTCGATAAATTTGTAGGCATCTAAATAATCTTTTTTTGAATAAATATCAAATTTGATTTATTTAGCATAAGGCTTTTTAAAAAATGGCTACAGTATTATAAAATAGTATTGTTCAATAAAGCAATCAAATAATGCAAGTCAAGTATGAATACAACAACACTTCTTGAGCCAGAAAAAATAACTAGAGTTATATATATATATAAACAAACAATAATACTACACTCTTACTGTAAACTTACAAACCAAGTTACAACACTTTAAAGCCGTAGGTACAACATTACCATTTACACATAAAACACATTGAAGCACTTTAAATATTACATGTATTTACACCTTGATGACGCAGAATTTAAGATTGCATCAAATTGTCTAATATAAAAATTAAGATTTTATAACTGATTCAACAGATATTACAGATTATAATAGAGATAATAAAGATTTGAGAATACCTTATTTTGTGATCAAATTTATAAAGTAATATTTATGGTCAAGTATAACAAATCTTCTTTTAAAACTCAGAGTCAAACAAGCGAATGAGTAAGCATCATTATATTAAACATTAATTATATAGGACTAGTTAGTTTTTATTTAGAACTAAAAGTTTGTCTAACAGAAAACCTATAACTATAACACTGGTACAAAGTAACGCGATGCTCCAGTTAATTATGCCATCATCATTTTTCTCCTCTACTTCTGTCATGATTTAAAATGCAAAAAGAAATGGGTTTTCTTCATTATTTAAAGTTTGTAAGAGTTTCATTAACTTATTTATAAAACCATTATTACCAGATTTCTCCAATCTGAATGACACTACTATAATAGAATCATATATATTTAATTGACAATAACTAAGTTGAAAACCTTCTTCAGGCCTTAAATTTCCAACATGATGCAAAATTCGCTCATAAACATAATATGATATATGGTATTTAGGCTGTAAATAAAGCAAAAAATAAAAAAGAATTATAACACCTATCCTGTTATCTATTATTTCTACGGTAGTTTATTTCAGCCCACCTAGACTATTCGCTTGCATTTTAACAACAATTTACCTCAGGTAGCCAAAGCTTATTTCTTTCATTTTGGCGACAGTTAAAATCATTTTACCTAGCCTGGTTTCTTTAATTTCAACGAAGCCTTGTAATTTTACTTCTTTAATTTTCAGACATAACTAAGCTTCAAAGGAGTGTGTAAAAATGATGCCTTTATAATAAACGTTACACTTTTATTTCAAGATTAAATTTTATTTTTCGTACTTATCTTATCTTAAATTTTCTTAATTGTAAGCAAATAATACAGAGTATAATATAATAATCTAATTATATTCTACATCTACTATTAGTCATATTTAAATTAGATGTTTTAAAATACAATTGCAATGTGTAAAGGTAACATGTTCCAATCAAAAACTTAAACTAAAGTTTTAAATAAATTAATATTATCTTTATCACTGAGTAATGTTATATATTTAATATAATTATTTATAATTATCGACAAAATATTATTAACACTTGAACAAAAAAACAATAAAAAGTAGTTTAAAAAAGTTAGAAAACTTTTACAGATACGAACTCATAAATAAAGCAAACTGAATAAATTATAAGGGCTGTCTGCTCAGTAAGTACTACTAGCATTAAATGGTGAAATTTAATTATTCGTCAAAAAATCTCTTTCATTGTTTGAAACGCATTTAATGCGAGATTTACAACTAACAGATAACAACAAAACTATTTAAAGAAAACCTCTATAAACAATCATATATTTGCTTCAAGTGAAGAAACTTGAAAATATTGAAATTTCTTGAACTGTTTTAATTTTTTTTTATATATTTAAATATTGAAAGAAATAGGTCTATATACAAAACATTAAATTATTATTATGAAGAAAACATTCTCTATAAGAATGTTCCTAAAAAATTAATGAAAGGTACGAAAACTAATGAAAAACGTTGTACATTTGTAAAATGTACAAACGTTGTACATTGACTTCAACTTGTTGTTTATAAATAGACAAACAACAAGTTGAAGTCAAACATATTTAATAAAAGAAATAAAGTCTCTTAAACTTTATATGAGGAAAAGCTATTTGTAAAAAATAAACAAGTTTTTAAAATAAATTTTTAAATAAAACAAATTGTAAAATAAAAAGAAAAATTGTTAACAAAAAAGAACAGAATATATGTATATATATATATATATATATATATATATATATATATATATATATATATATATATATATATATATATATATATATATATATATTTGTATATATATATATATATATATACATATATATATATATATATATATATATATATATATATATATATATATATATATATATATATATATATATATATATATATTCTATACAAATTCATTCAAAAAGTAATGTATGCAAAGTATTTAATGTATAAATCTGTTCTATAAAATATACTTAAAACAATAAATATTTAAAAAGTTATGGATAATAAAAAACTATAATTTTTTACCATTTATTATAAACACATTCTTTCAACAACATTTTTTAACACTTTTTATAACTACACTAAATACAAACAGATTTAATTTATGTGTTTCATCGTGATAGTACATTACTTAACTGGCATGGACAACAATCTTTCTACCAACAAATCCAAGACACGTTATAGTACAGCCAAGTGGTGTACAAAGTACTTGGCTTGCAAAGGTCAACATTTTTGCTGTAAACTAAGCCAAGTCACAACAATTTGAAACCATACAAACAACATAAAATCACACACAAACTATAAACAAATAAGATTATATCACAAACATAGAGACATTATTTAAAAGATATTTACACACATATATTTAAAAGATATTTACACACTTGCAAAATATAAAGCCATATAACCTTAACACATATAAACACATAATATATACAGTGGCTATAGTCCTCCCTAGCCCCCCACCACCACCACCACCACCACCACCACCTAGATTTGATTATTATACTTATAAATATTGTTTCATTCAGAAATTCTTTCTTCAAAAACGCACATTGTTTTCTTTTTTTTTTCAAATATTTTTTTTAATTACATAGTTTTTTACAAGTTTTTACAATATATGTTACTTTAATTACAAGTACATGCAAAAATAATTCTTATATAGTTAAGATAATATTAAGATGGTTATTTTTGGTAATGTAGTCAAGACGATAACTATATTTAGTTCAGTTAATAAGAGTCTACTGGCTGGTTCATCACCCATAAATGCATCTATTTTTATTAAAATTTTTCTATTTTATTTGTATAATGCAAATACGACAGCTAACTGAAAACATATTTCATAATCTGAAACCAAGTTTTCATAAGTTATAAGAAAAAAGAGGTTATGTAGAAAGTAAGAGTCTTCATAAAAACTAAGCGTGCAAAACTGTGTACTTTTTGTTTGTAACAAATGTGATTTAAGTTTGGCAAAAGATCGGTCTAATTGGCAATATTTGAGCAGTGTAGTCAATCGTAAAATGATTATGGCAAATGATTGGTACATAAACGTTATCGTTTGTTTGGTGGTGACAATTATAACCCAATCAAAACCAGGCCTTGATTATGCATGAAGAGTTTGCAATGCGGCGTTAAACGATGGATTACTAGCTTCTGAGGTTATACTGAACTATTTCAAGTTGCTGATTATGCCTCATTCTTATAAAAAAGACTCTTAGCTTTCATGAAAACCGTTACGATAATAAGCTCATAGGACCTTCTACTTTTGTTTTTTAAATAAATTTAACGTTGCGTATTTTATGGATGATTTCTAAAGAGAAGCATTTTATACAACATTAATTGTGTAAACTAAAAGAATTTAGACCTTTTTTTTTTAAATTAAATACTTATACGTAATATATGCTTTTACTTAATAAAGTTTTTGGTTAAAAATATAGCAAAGTGCAATATAAAAGTACACATTTAAAAAAATACTTAAAAGTAAAAGTTCACAAAAAAGATACTCAATTTTTTAAAAATACTTTTTTAAAGTAATTTTAAAAATGTGACTAAAATTTAATACATTTTTTACACATCTCTACAGCTCATAATACAAAAAAGGAACTCATAACAATTTTTTATTATATCAACTTTTAATGTTATTATCGTTACAGTTTCTCAATTTAATTGGCAAACTGTGAAATAAGTACATAATTTTTGTACTATTAGACTATTAGTAAAAAACGTTTATAAAAAGCAAGATTTTATATTTATGTTTAAAGTTAATTGTTTGAGTTTTATTTAATGTCATTTTGTTTTATTTTAG